ACAGTTGTGTCAAACTGGTTGAAAACAACAAAGTCCATGCTCAATAATCCAGGTATACAATCCAACATTTTTCAGTCAGGTCATCTGGAAAGTTTCTTTGTGCTGAAACGTTGTGTCAACAAGGAAGAGGGCCGGCAATGGAGGAGGGGGCGTACCAAAGAGACCATCTTAGCACCAACATAACTGGTTTGTTCCACTTTGGAGTAAGCTGTTGGGGGAAGAATCAGTTTTGTGTTGTGTGTTTTCTTGACTGATGAAACCTTCCGGATCAAAGGTGAAACGTTTCAGCACAAAAAAAGAAACTGTCCAGATGACCTGACTGAAAAATGTTGGATTGTATACTTGGATTATTGAGCATGGACTTTGTTGTATATAGAAGTGTTCCTGAGCCCGTGCAGTGACATCCATAACAGAATCAGACCTGTTTTAAATAAAGTACTGCCTGAGGGCCCAATCATGGGCTCGGATACTACTGTTTGGCCTTGATCTTTGCATACAGAGAGTTTTCCAGATTCTTCAAATCTTTTGATGAACTGTAGATGATAGGATATTCAAAGTCTTATCAACATCCAATTGAGGAACTGTTTTTTCCATTGCTCCACTAAATATTTTTTATTCATTTTTGTGTAGACAGATGAATCTCTGCCCATCAAACACTTTAAAATATATTTTTAAAAACTTGGTCTTCTTACAAACTTGTTGCCAATCAACTATATTCTGGCTAATATTTACTTTTTTTTTTAATACCTTTTTTTGCAACTGTCCCATTTTTTATATATATGTTTTGCCACCATAAAATTCTAAATGATCTTCTGTTTTCCAAACATTTTACAACATTTTTTAGCTGGTGGAGATTTTCCATCATCCAGAACATGGTGAATCCAAAAAAAAAAAAAAAAAAAAAAAAACGTTTTGCTTCTCATCTGAAGGGCTTTCTCAAGAGAGAAATTGAGAAATCTGAAAATCTCAATTGCGAAAATTCCTCGGATGAGAAGCGAAACGTCTTCAGCTACAAAATGAAGTTTTGTCTTTAACCTTTTTTTTTCTCCATTTACAATGTCTTAACTTAAACATTACATATGTGTGTTAGGTCGTATTGTGGATAAAACATGGGTTTCAGATGTGCAAATCGTTGCGTTTTGTTTTTGCATACATATTACACAACTTCCAACTATTGGAATTGTGGTCGTAGAAGCAATAAAGGAAACATTTTTACAGCAACATGTTTAAATTAAAAACATCAAGCAGTTTGGTGTGTTCTTTTTTCTCTCTTCCTTGTGCACAAGCTGAAGGACTGAAGGAAAGGAACAAGGAGAAAGGAAAGTTATTAGACAGCTATTGATAGCCAATTATTTTGTGGCTTTTAGAATAATCTTCTAGATGACTTTCCCACCATTAGTTTGGTGTCAAGAAAGGACCATGAGCTGAAGGATGTTCAAAGGTAAACAGCACATGGATGCATGTAGTCTGCCTCCAGCACTGACCTGGACAGGTCAAGCTTTATGCAATCTTCCACATTTTGCCTAACTCAATCTGACCTCTCAACTTGGTTCTCTCTTACAGTCTCTATTTTTCTATTTCCTTCCTCACAGCCCTCTGTTCTTTATTTCACCTGATTTTTCTCAACTTATCTGCACTTTTGTTTTTAATTGCTGTTGTCTTGTACTCTTTCTCCACCATCCTACTCTTCTCTAATTTTGTAGAGCTATTTTAAAAATACATTCCTACATTCATTAATATTGCCTGCCATGTAACTTAGTAGCGATCGCTTCAGATTTTTTTAATTTTTCTGAGTCAGGCTTGGTTTATTTCAGCCAGATGGATGGCACTAATTCTCAAAACATGAGTACTTTGTACACAGAAAAATCAGCTCCGTTTGACACAACAGTGTATTGTAATGGTAGAAGCAGATATGTTTTGATTTGATGAATGGCCTCATTAGTCTGGAAGATGTTGTCTTAATCATGCCTTGTCGCCATCAGAGCTGCAAACACCTAATGAGGTAAATTTAATTGATTTTTTTTTTCACACATCTCAGAAAAAAGCCATAGAAACTAGGGCCTTTCTGGATGGAGTTTGCATGTTCTCCTCATGCACACCTGGGTTATATTAGAGTATTTTATTTTCCCCCACAGACCAAAAGTATGCATGTTAAGTTAATTGGTAACTCTAAAATTGTCCAAAAGACCGTGTGAATGGTTTAATTTGCCTCTCCGTCCCTGTGATGGACTAACACCATGTCCAGGGTGTGTCCTGCCTCTCTCACAGTGACAGCTAGAAAAGACACAAGAACCCCTTCAACCTGGAAAGGAAAGGACAGCAAAGCGGGTGGATGGAAGAAAGGATGGATGGATGAAAAGATAGATTTATGAGCTATATTCAGTCTTATTTTAGTTGTTTATTTCTGACAATAATTACTTGAAGAAATTCAGGCACACTTGTTGGATACACACACAGAGAAGTATTTATTTAGACATATCTGTTGAACATAGTTCATGAGTTCAATATGAAATTTGTCAATATGTTGCAGAATGTACCAGTGGCACCGGTTATTTCATGACCAGAATGTGGCAAAATGATGGAGTCAGACAATTTGGGTCTTGTTATATCAGTGGAAAGCACTGACAACTCTGTTGAGGGAAATATTTTTCTTGTTTTTGTTTTGTGTGTGTAGAAATTGAACTACTTCTATTTTGCCACCTTCTTTAAAATCTTGAGCAACATGACAGAAAAATAAAGCCTGGCAGTTTATCTTTGACTAAGCTCAAGAAAGACCAAATGTTTCTAAGATTTTAACTCTCCCAAAAAAGTTGATTTGAATCACAAACGAAATATAATTCAGATATTTTTTTCCCTTTTTAATAACAAGTGAAAACAGATGAATGGCTACCAGCTAATAATTCTTTTTATGTTTGACTGGAGCAAAATGGTCATAAAATTTCAAGGCACTTTACCGTTATTTCATTTGCTGTGCCCCTTATGAACAAAGGATGTTTCCATGACACAGTCAGGATAAAATAATCTGTGCTGGTCTATGGATACAGAATAAAAACGCTGATATCATGAACCATTAGTTCCTACAATGAGCAACTAAAATTTCTGTCTTCTGTTTCCAGCTGACTCCTGTAGGAACAACCATCTTCTCTGGTTTCTCTGGGAATAATGGTGCAACAGACATTGATGATGGTCCCAATGGACAGATAGAGTATACAATCCAGTACAACCCCAAAGACCCGGTGAGTTAGCAATCTGAGCATCTTCAGCTTTATCGAATATTCAGTGACAGAGAAAAATTATTTTGATAGTTGGATTTTTTTTTTTTTTTTTAGAAAATTCTGATGTATATGAGGGTGTTACTACCAAATTCTAACTTAGAAAACAATAGACAACAAAGGTTTCTCCACAAAAATGTCAAAAAATTACTGTTTGAAATAGAAAGAAAGCAAAATTATTTGTATTGCATGTATACATTTCTACACTCTTTAGATTCAGTTAATTTCTGTCACACATTTTTGTCACATGGTGATTTGTTGTTGTCAGAACCCAAATTAAAAAAGAAGTAGGCTTCTGCAAGTTTTATTTTATTATTATTTTTACAAATCTAAGGTAACCAGCACAACTGGCAAGCTGACAATATATATGATTTAAGCATTTGTTCTGATAAAGACAGAGAAAAACATGAGGTGTAAACAATGGGAAGGAAAATGGCAACAGTCAACAGGTGTGCTGATTACTAATGGAAGACAGATAATACATAAGGCACTTAAAATAAACTATTGTAAACTTCTACAAAGTGGCAATAATGTTACAAGGATTAAACAACTACCATAAATACCTAAAATAGAAGAAAAAGGTACAGTTGCCCTGAGGTGTAAATAAACAATATAAATAAAACCACACACACAAAAAAAACAGAATTATCTTTCAAAAAACACAACAAAAACACAACACTATTTGAGAAAACCCAACATTTGAGAAAACGCAACATTTGAAAAAACGGAATTACATTAAGCCAATCCGGAAGTTTTTTCATTTTATTTTATTTTTTTATTACTTTAATAAGAACATAAAACAGAACAATGTACAGTAAAAAGAAACAAATACAAACCCTCTTGAAGGGATGTGAAGATAATGTGAAAAATACAAAAAGCATGGATGTATTGTGTTTTTTGAATCCCTCTTGAAAATGAACAATGAAATAATTTGTTTTATTTACATTTATTTTAGTTTGTAAAAAAACTGAACAAATGGAACACGGACCCCACCCCCATCAAGAGAGTTTGTCTTTTTATCTTCTTACTGTTTATTATTGTTCTGTTTTATGTTGTTAATAGAGTAAAAAAAAAAACACCACTTCCAGTTTGGCTTAATGTAATTCCATTTTTTCAAACATTTTGTTTTTTTGAAATGTTGTGGGTTTTTTTTTTAATGTAATTCTGTTTTTTTAATGTTGCTCATTTACACCTCAGGGCCACGTTCTTCTGAATTACAATAAAAACATACAATGACAATTGCATGTTTTTGTAATTAAATTCTGGAACTGATTTTAACCCTCTTTTTTGTTTGTGACTATTATAAAATGCATTAAATATAGACTTCATTTTAATTTACTGGCTGTTTATGTTGTTTTTAATTGTACTGTTTCGAAGTCTGTTGAAATAATTCTGGTTTTAGCTGTAAAACTCATTTCTACTAAAATAAAATTAGAAAATAACCTCTGATACGGTTCAAAAAAGGGTGTTTTTGTACATCTATTGCATGTCTTATTTCTAGCTACATGCAATAAACATAACATGATTGTGTTGTTGTGTTTTGCAGACAGCCAACAGAACCTTTGACATCCCACTGACATTGTTTGGCTCCGTGGTTCTCAGAGAGAGACTCAACTATGAGGAAATAACACGGTACCTGGTCATCATACAGGCAAATGTGAGTGGCAGTTCCTTCATGCTTGTTCTTAAATTTGTTGTGTTAGTATGTCTGTTCATACCTGAGGAACAACAAAGCGTGTTACCGAATTTTTATTTTTATTTTATAATTTAAATTAATATATATTAAAAGCTAGACAATAGAAGGCTGGGGAAAAGAGACCCTCTCGACTAAGATAACGATTGCCTGCAGTTTATGATGCTGGTATTTTTATTTCAATTGTTTTCCTGATAATATTCCACAAGCTTTTTGACTTTCTGAGTTTGCTGGGGGCAGCACGGTGGCGCAACTGGTATAGCTGCTGCCTCTCAGCGAGCAGGTCCTTGTTTCAAACCCCAGTCCAGGGGCCTTTCTGGGTGGAGTTTGCATGTTCTCTCCGTGCATGCGTGGGTTTTCTCCGGGTGCTCCGGTTTCCTCCCACAGACCAAAAACATGCATGTTAGGCTGATTGGTAACTCTAAATTGTCCCTAGGTGTGAGTGAGAAAGTGAATGGTTGTTTGTCTCTATGTGGCCCTGTGATGGACTTACGACCCGTCCAGGGTGTACCCCGCCCCTCGCACAGTGATTGCTGGACATGGGCACCAGCGACCCCCGTGACCCAAAATGGAATAAGCGGGTAAAGATAATGGATGGACGGATGGAGTTTGCTGGGCAGCCTGAAGGCATCCGAAGAGGCCTTTTGTGTCTGTATCAAAGATTTCAGTGCAACATCGGCAGCACTTCAGTGGGGAGTACCGCAGGGGTCCATCCTTGGTCCCCTTCTCTTTTCTTTATACCTGCTGCCACTAGGTGCTATTTTCCGCCATTACAACATACCATTTCATTTCTACGCTGATGGCTGACAAATTTACTTCTCCCTGAGGCACAGAGGCACATGCTCTATTCAACCTCTTCTTGACTGCCTGGCTGACATCCGGGACTGGATGGCTTTAAACTTCTTAAGTTTCAAAGAGATGGGCAGCACGGTGGCGCAACTGGTAGAGCTGCTGCCTCTCAGCGAGCAGGTCCCTGGTTCAAACCCCGGTCCAGGGGCCTTTCTGGGTGGAGTTTGCATGTTCTCTCCGTGCATGCGTGGGTTTTCTCCGGGCACTCCGGTTTCCTCCCACAGACCAAAAACATGCATGTTAGGCTGATTGGTAACTCTAAATTGTCCCTAGGTGTGAGTGAGAGAGTGAATGATTGTTTGTCTCGTTTGTCTCTATGTGGCCCTGTGATGGACTTGCGACCCATCCAGGGTGTACCCCGCCCCTCGCACAGTGATTGCTGGACATGGGCACCAGCGACCCCCGTGACCCAAAATGGAATAAGCGGGTAAAGATAATGGATGGATGGAAGTTTCAAAGAGAAGAAGTCTGAAGTCATTGTGTTCCATCCCAATGGCACGTTCATGAACCACTGCATTGACCTTTCCTCTCTAGCTCCGTTAGAGAAACAAAGAGTCACCAATTTGTGAGTGACAATGGACCCTTCTTTAAAACTTAACAGTCGTAAACATGATTGTTAAATCCTGTTGTTTTTTTTTTTCAGCTGAGGTGGCTGTCTAAGCTGAAGCCCATATTGTCCAAAAATAATCTTGAGACAGTGATCCATGCGTTCATAACATCCAGGCTCGATTACTGCAATGCGCTTCTGTTTGGTATCAATCAATCCTCCGTGGCACGTCTACAACTGGTCCAAAATGCTGCAACCCGATTTTTAACTGATACAGGCCATAGAGAGCACATTACTCCAGTTTTTGGCCTCCCTGCACTGGCTACCCATTCACCTTCGGATCCAGTTCAAAATACTTGTGTATGTTTTTAAATTACTAAACAGTTCTGCCTCATCCTATCTCACTGATCTTCTACAGCCATATGTCCCACCGCACTCTCTGTGGTCAGCAGACCAGAGGCTCCTTTCCAGTTCCAGAAACCTATCGCAAGCTCAGAGGTGACAGGGCTTTCTCTATTGCAGTTTTCTCAGTTTTTAAGTCTCGCCTGAAAACCCACTTTTATTTCCTTGCCTTTGACACAGTGTGATTTGTTTTTATCCTGTCTGTAGTCTACAGTGTTGGCCACTTAGTTATTATCCACTGCTATTTGTATCTATATCTTCATTTGATGTTTTCCTGTCCACTGTGCTTGTTTGTTTCTACTGTACAGCACTTTGGTTGTCCTTGTTGCTGTTTAAAGTGCTTTATAAATAAATTGGTATGGTATGGTACCATAAATTGTAACTTGTGAATTTGCATATCAAAATTTTTGCCTTTTTTAAAAAAAATGTCCTTCTATCCATTACATTCACTAATGAAAACATGTTTATTTTAGTCAATGCACAAAGCACACATTGAGTAAACTCTTGGGGGATATAAACTGGGCCAATGGAAGATAGGTAATAAAGCTGAGTGTCCCATTTATTTGTTGTTTAGACTGGAAAACTTACTGTAGTTCTCAAGAGAGTATAACTGTACTCACTCACACTGGGACACTTGGGACACTTTGCCAGAGCAAGCCTGACGTACCACCCATCACAAAACCATCTAAATCACGGGAGCTTCATAGCTCGGAATTTGGATTCCAAATGACAACATGACCATGGTGATCTATGTGCAGAAGAAGGGACAGGCTGTTGTTCTGCTGAGCAGCATGCATGATGACAAAGCAGTGGATAACAGCAGTCAGAAGAAGAAACCAGAAGTGATCCAGTACTACAATAAAATGAAAGGAGGAGTGGACACAATGGATCAAATGGTTAACAACTACACATGTCTGCGGAGAACAAGAAGGTGGCCCATGGTTTTCTTGTACAATATGATGGATGTTGCTACACTCAGTGCCTACACCAACTTCAGTACACAACACTCTGATCGTATGGGTGGTGTGAGTAATGCACGCTGGCTATTGATCAAGGAGCTGGGCAAAAAGCTTGTCATGCACATATGAAGAGGTGCATGGAGGGCATTCAAACTCCACAGGCAATGGGAAAGTGTGGGTAAAAAAACACAAAACACAACCACCACCCAGCTACAAGAGGACATCAGACAGGAGGGCCAAAGGAAGAGGAAGAGGTGCTCAATATGCCCAGTTTCGAAAGACCGCGAAGCCAGTAGCTGGTGTTCCCAGTGCGCCAGTCCTGTGTACAAGGAGTACAAACACTTAGTGATCATTTGTGAGGCATATAAAAACTGAGATGGCAGTTTGTGTTCAAGTGATGTGTTCAATTGTGTTTTATTTTGTTTGGTCACATTTCACCAGTTTACAGTTGTTAAATCACAGATAAAGTTCAGTTCAATAGCTGTTCTCTGTTATCAGGAGGTATGTGTATGTGTGACAAAATGACAAACATGTTGCAAATATTAAATAAATAACTGTTTGGCCCCATTCACTGCTAAAGTAATTGCATAAAACATTTTTTTTTATAGTATTGAGATATTTAATTTGAAATCACACTTGGAAGACCCATGTGTAGTAATATAAAAAGTATTTTTGTTCATAAAGTAGGAAATTAAAAAATAAATTAATGATCTGTGGTAATTAAAAACAAGATATTTAAAGAATACTTGAAATATTCAATCATAAAATGAATTGATTTCAAAAGATAGAGCAAAGAAAAACTCAGTCAGCATGAAATAACCTGTAAAATGAATGTGGGTCATTTTTGACCCATGTTGTGCATTAGAAGGGGTGTGCATATGTAGTGCATCAAAGGGTTATGGACGCATTTATAATTGGATTTACGATAACTGGTTCCTGCTTTTTGGATTTGGCTGGTTGCTGGATTATTTACTATCAAGGAAGTCATCGGCAGCACATTTGGACCTGATTATGCTACTTGCCTTATTGATGGCTTGGTTTGTGCCTCAAGTACCCAGACTCAAATGCTTTTGGCAGAATGGATCATGTCTCAAGGATTTTACTCAGTCACGTTATTTTTGTGTGGCCATGTAATTTGGACATTTCAGAACTCGAGTGGACCAACACAGACTCAAGTAGATGTCATTAAGTTCTGCCTGTCCGCAAAACAACTGTGTGTTTATCTGAATTTGGCTCCCCTGACTGGCCTTGAGGGCCACCTTATCTGAATTGCCTAGGAGAACATGTAATCTGATGCTCTTATGTTCTTATAGCTCAAACAGCAGTAGTTTATGCACTTTTAAACCAGACATGTTATTGATTTAATTTGGCATGATTTCTGTTCTTATACAAAAAAAAAAAAAAAACCTACATATAGAATTTTAGCACTCATACATACTCTGAGATCTTTGGTGTCCCCCACCACCCATATGGGGGTAATACCACAAGTTGAGACACTGACTTAAAGGAACAAGTATGGTTGTACATACAGAGTTCCAGAAAACTAAATTAATATGTTTCTAAAAGGAGAAATTGTAACTATCACTTATTAATATGAATGTAAAAGATTAGTGATGAATGGCCTAAAGGAAATGAGATCTGTGGAATGTTTTATGTTCTTTGTACCATAAGAGCTTTGATTGTGAACTACTTGAATATTTTACGAAGGCTTCACTAAAATCCAGCTTTTCCAGCTCAAGGTCTACCAAAGGTCTTCCTCTGAGAACTTAATCATGTGTAAACACATTCATTTTTCACTTTATTTGCATGAAGGTCACACTGTTAAGAGTCTCAGACCTTTACACAAAACTAGTCTTTACACTTCAAAGTATTACAAGAAACCTTTTTTTTTTTTTCCTGATAATGTGAGGCTACCAAATGTGCTCCTCATTCATTAAAAAATAAATAAATAAAATGCTCATGTATATTTTGAATGAACTGCAATTCTGAGTGATGGTGATTTTTGTGTCTTGTCAGTACTTTACATTTATTCATTAAGTCAATACTCATTGAAACACTGTCTACTGCTTGTACTGGTATAAATATTTATGATGGTGTGGACAATGAGGTCAGAGTGTTGTAAAAAAATGGCAGAAAAACAGAGCAGTTTCTCTAAACAATTGATAATTAGCATTTTGTGGCTATTTTCACCCTTGATAATTTTTTTTTTTTTTAAAGGTAAGTTGTTGTCAATCTTTTTGTTTCATTTAACTCTGTTTTAATAATTCCAGAAAGAAAAAAAAACAAGGCCTCTTTACACTCATGTAAAGAATCAACAAGAACAAGCTACATTTATTGTAGTGAGATAAAGCTACAGAAATAATTGAAATAAAATTAAAAGCATTGTTTTGGTGGTATTAATCAAAGAGCAAAGATCACAAAAAAAATATAATAAGATGTTTTCATTGTACTCATGCTGCCAGCAATAGCAATTGAGATTTACACCCAAATATGTGTTTTGTGAAAAATGACAGTTTAAAAAGAGTGGATTTTGGCATTTTTTATTTTGAATAGGAAAAACTTAGTTGAAAAACCTTAAAATCTTCAAGCTTCAGATCTATGTACCTACATTCAATAATTACTTTTTTGAGATATTCATTAAAATCCTTCCAATTGATCATAAAATGTTTTGCTAACAGACAAACCAGCCAATAAACACATATATGAGTAATTACAGGAGTGCCCACTTTTCATGGTGGTATAATAAAGATGAGCTTCAGTGCAACAGAGTTAAAAATTAAAATCTAATTGTTCTGTCTGTTCAGGACCGAGCCCCCAATCCGAGTGACCGCCTAACAGCCACCACCACCTTAACCGTGGATGTACTGGACGGGGATGACTTGGGTCCCATGTTTTTACCGTGTACACTTGTGGGAAACACCCGTGACTGCAGTCCCATCACGTACATGGCTAATGTTCTGGAGCTGACGGAGCCGGTAAGTGTCACGCACAAGCATTATTCACTGCATTATAGTTTGCTGTGAGGTGCAGTGAGCATGTTTCTGTGTTCACCTCAGAGGAAAATATCTGCCTGGATTGTGTGCATCAATACTTTTATTTTATTTATGCATCTTTTTGTACTGTTGTGACGCCAGAGATCCTTTAAGTGCTTTTTTTTATTGGTTTTTCATCCAAGTAACACGTTTTCTATGTTGACTTTATAAAGGTCAAGGTTATGTCCAGACTGAATGTGTTTTGTGCCTAAAATTAAACATTTTTTTTTCTCCCCTATGTTGCAATTTGTTAAAAATGCAACAAACATATTGTTAGTTTGTTTACAAATTGAAGATTGTGTCGATGTAGATTTTTCTTTTAAAAACTGTGTTTTTAAGCAAAGCAAGGCATGACATTTGCCTTTGGAAGAGTATGAAATCTTTATATTTACTTTTATTTACTTACCTTGACCTTTAAAACATTGTATAATGCAGCTATCAGGATTAAGAGTAAAGGTTAGCTGTCTCCATGTACGTTTGAATATAATGCACTTTATTTTTTATTGAAAATCAAAGATTTAACATAACATTCCTACAAAGTATAAGGAGTTAATTTCCTTCTACATCACAGACCAACAACATGCATGTTATGCTGATTGGTAACTCTAAATTGTCTCTAGGTGTGCGTGAGAGAGTGACTGATTGTTTGTCTCTTGTCTCTGTGTCCCTGTGATGGACTGGAGACCTGTCCAGGGTGTCTCTTGCACAGTGATGGCTGGATGTGGGCAACCCGAAAAGAAAGAAGTGGGTGAAGATAATGGATGGATGTTTTAAAATATCATATGTTAAAAAATAACCATTATAGTTGTTTTGATCTGATCTTGAAAGTAACATTAAATGAAATCTCATGGTAAATTGTTAACAAATCCAATTAGATTTCTTAGCAATTAACATATGAGTTTTGAATGTATGTCAGCTACTACCAGCCCAAATTTTAACTCGGTGTCTGTAAAATTTACTGAGTTATTGGCATTTTAGTGTACAATGAGATTAAGTGTGACGGCCATCTTGAATTAGGTTGTCTCCGAAAAGAATCTGTGTCAGAGACAATGTTCAGGTAATACTGTTTAAAATCCTGGCTCATGATGGTTAAAATGTGTTATTATATCAGTTTTTGTGTTTTATAAGATTCATTGGATGCAGTGGCTGTCTTGATCTGAGCTGACCTCTCTCAAAATTGTTAGTCAGAGATGTACATGCTTTGAGATTCATTGATATGCCTAAATCAGGGGTCTGCAACCTGTGGCTCTGGGGCCACGTGCGGCTCTTTAGTCCCTCAGCTGTGGCTCTATGAAGCTTTGACCAAAACTTTCAGGAAAATTTATTGTTCTGGTTTTGATACTCACAACAAGAAAGGCTAGTTTTGGCTGTTACTTTTTGTCAATTCTCTGCAAATGTTTGATCAACACTATTTTTTGCTTTATTTCTTCAAAGTGGGATACTTCATTTCTCCTAAAAAACACATAGTTCTGCAGAGTTCAGTGTTTACATGTTCATCTAAAGGTATAAACTAGAAGTTTTCCCTTATTTACATCATGGACTTATTTTGTTGTCCCAAAATGTAAAAATATCAATAAATGTTGATATTAATTATTGATTAGTAGTTTCAAAATGTCACTCACACTGAACATAAAAGCTGCTTCCAGCTAACTCAAAGTAGCCCATGGGCCAGCAGTTGATCATTACAGTTCCAGCAAGTTTTGTGGCTCCAAGCTCTCTTTTTATTTAATGAGTTAAGAGGCAGAAATGGTCCTTTGATCAAAAAGGTTGCAGACCCCTGGCCCAAGTGTTTGACATATTTTGCTAACAGACAAACAGAGGTTGCTGCAATTTAAGTAAGTATCTCATTTAAAATAATCAGCTACGAATGAGCCTAATTTTAGTTCAGCATCTGTTTAAATTAATAACTTATACTACATGTTTGTGTTGTAGATCATGTAGATCATCACGTGCCGTATCTTCTGGCGTATAAGTCGCACCATTTTGCATAAATTTGCAAGTCCTGCGACTTATACACTGAAGCGACTAATATGTTTTTTTTTCATATTCATTACGCAATTTTTGACTGACTTGAAATGTTCATTCATAGACATGAAGCAATAAAGACTACCCACTGCAGCTGCTAGTGGGCCCTCTAGGCTTTTATATGTAGTTCCTCTACCCACACACACACACACACACACACACACACACACACGCACGCACGCACGCACGCACGCACACAAACGTTCACTTAGAGACCACTGAGAAAAATTAACACAAGTAAAATGCCCCCAAACAGAAAATCCTATTCTGCAGATTACAAACAGCAGGTAATAAAAATGCAGCTCAAAAAAGTAATCGAGCAGCAGAAAAAGAGTTTGTAAACGGGTCGGGTCCGTGCAGTCTGGATTCCACCCAGCGGAAGGGACAGTCGCATTGCGGTGGATCCCAACTCGTGGGGAACATTCCCCAAGTGTCTTGCTGGCTCCCACCGTGCACATTTCCTCCATGGCGGTGTGCCACCCATCCATCCATCTATCCATCCATCCACCCATTGAGCCATCCATCTATCCGTCGCGGCTCTGGCTGCACACTGTACAGCCTTCCTCCACCGCCTGAGCCGGGAGGAAGGGGGCAGCGAAGCACGTGTTCCACGGCCCCGGGAAGCAGCGAGTTGCTTTGCTATAATGACGAGCAAACAAATAATTGTTTTTAAGTGTTACTCTTGTTAAATTCTTTGTTAAAGTCCTTCCGTGTGTGCTCTCGCAGCCGCCATTTGGCAGCCAATCGATTTTTGGCACAATACTGGCCAATGTTTCCCCGTGGTCAGCGGTGATGCATAATAAATGTGACTTGTACAGCGAAGCAACCTTTTTATGTTTTTTCCCACTTTATTAGACATTTTTGGACTGATGTAACTTGTACCGCAGAAAATACGGTACATCTACTAATGATTTTTTTTTTAAAAGTTTCATTAAGCAGTCCAGGGATTCATGAGATATTTTGCTAACCGTGGGTGAAACCATTATCATGCCATGTTAGCCACCAGTGGTGGGTGATAATAAACTCACCTTTTCTTGCTCATGTATCACCCTATCTATGAACTTTAGCATTTTGATCGTCATCCACTAAATTGTTTAAATCAATGGCAGCAGGGGTCCAATTTAATGACGGTTTGTGTTTGACTGATTGAAAGCACTTGCAGTCTTGATATTGTGCCAACACTGTTTAATATTCTGTTTGATTGTTTTTTTTTTTGTTTTTGTTTTTTTGGGGGGTGGGGGGGGCTTGCCAACAAGTACTAAATGGTAACAAGTAAAAATGATGGTGTTAGTTTAATCCATGTTTTTTTTTTTTTTTTTCATATTGTTACAGAGTTATTTTGATCAGGTTTGCACAATAAAAACAACTCGTAAGAATTCTGGACAAACTGTCAAACTCATCTGTGTGATTTCTAACAGATGCTTGTGTAAATCTCTCGTGTAACAAGTGTTACAAGCTGGAGTGTGCTGTACTATAGTCTGTCTTTATGCTTACACAGCTGTGTGTGCACTACTTTTATATTTGTGTCTCTGACATTTAGCTGATGCTGTAATCTGGAGGAACCAGCAAAACCACTTTATAAATGAAACAAAGTTGCTGCAGGGAAAAAATCCTCAACTCTGACAAGTCAGCAGTGCATTCATCCCTTACACTACAAACACACAAATGCAACGGGGACAAGCCAACAGTGTGTTCATGCCCCAACACCTCAGCAACACACACACACACACTTATAGCAATTGCAGAGCCAGTGAGAAGTCGCATCCAACTGAACATTGTCTACCTCATCTCTTTATCTTTCTCACACACATTTGTGCATGAACACACTAACTTCATGCCCGGGCACACCAAGGGAACTACCTTTATGCGTTTAAACCACTCTGCCTTTTTATGTTTCTCTCACCTGCTCATATTTTCCTCATATAAAGATGGACGCACATTTACTCCTCTCAGCCAAGACGGGCAATATTTTGGGAAGGAGCAAGCATGTACAAAATGTGTGGCCTGATTCATCGGTCTATCCTCTGCTCCATCAATCACTCATGGACACGACTTCTGGATACCTAAAATCCTGAGACCCATTGCTGACCTGGAGGGAACTTCATCTTCTTCTTTCAGCCTTATCTCCTTCAGGGGTTGCCACAGTGAGTCATCCTCCATTTCACTCTGTCCTCAAACCAACTACCCCCATGTCCTCTCTAACTGCATCCATATGGGAACATTCCACCTTTTTCCAGTTGAGAACCATGGTCGTCCTGTGTCTGCAGGACATCTACATTGAGATGTTGGACCAGAGCCTCCAGGATTGTTAAATACCCATCCTACCCCAACAACAGCCCCGTTTCAGCTACTGAACTCAGACAAGACGTATTAAAGCATTATGGTGAAGATTGAGAGGCTTACTGTAGGCGGAGTTATTATTCCCAGACTTCTTAATAAACCATACTCCACCACTCAGTGAGCATCTGAACAAACATCATTCTTCCCACATCCACCATCAGATCCTGCTAACCTCAGTGCACAATGATCTTATGTTTGTATGTGACCCTTTTTAATCTCTTCATGATTGCTTTTGCACACTGATTATATTAAAACTTGCCAATACTTTTAGTATTTTGTTTTTAAGTTTTGATCTAAACTAGCTTATCCTCCTGTCAAATTGTTGATTTCAATATTTTTCCTTTTTTTAATTTGCAAAGCCTATATGGCTCCTGATACTTTTGACCATGTGTTGTACTTATATAAATGTGCACATGACCCAAACAAGTGGACAGGTTTGAAGATTTTACAGATTAAGTGACTTAAACAAGGGAGCACTTAGCAAAAAGAGACTATTCTGTAGGGGTTCCAAATCAGAAACAGTACTGCATCAGATCCAAAGATTGTTTTGCATCATGTACAGAGATGTTGCTCATTTA